GGAAAGCTGGAGTGGGAGGCGGGAGCACTAGGGGAAGGAGAGCCCCAGAGGGGAAAGCCAGGAGGACCTGGTGTGGCTGTGGCAGCCATGGCGGCGGTGCCAAAGCCAAGCTGCTGCTGCTGCCATGCAGATGCTGCGGCTGCGGCTCCTGCAGCTGCGGCTGCAGCCTGACCACCAGAGCCCCACTGCTGCTGCTGCTGCAGCAGCTGCAGCTGCTGGAAGCGGCGAAACTGCTGCAGCTCCTGGGGAGTTATGGGGTCAGCGATAGAGGAGGAGGAGGAGGAGAGCTGAAGATGAGAGGGGAGAAAAGACGGAAGAGTTTTGACATCCTGGAGAGAGGGGCGGGGATCCATGGCAGACCAGCGTGGGGGTGTGCCAGTGTTGCCGCGCTCGAACCAGGCGTCATCATACGCCTTGAAGCAGGTCGCGGGGGGATGGTTGGTTTGGGTGCAGCGCTCACCCGCCTGGGACCAAAATGGCGAAGATAGGAACATGGGGGAGAGTGCCAGGGCGGCCACCACGGCTACCAGATGAGCCACCACTGCCTCCACCACCACCACTGCTGCCACCCTCGACCCGCCACCACCGCCGCCGGCTCCGCTGCCCCACAACCGCCACCTCCACCCCTCCCTGAGGGTTGGTGCGGCCGCCACGTGGGCGCCCGCCACGACGCGGCTGTGTGACTGCAAGCTGGGGGTTTTGGGACTCGGTGGAGTTCAGGCCGGAGGGGGGGGTTGAGAGAAGGCGGGCCTCAGCGTCAATGATCCATTGGACCACAGTGTCAAGGGAGGCGCGGGGCTGAGCCTCAGTGAAGGCGATGACGCGCACTTCATATTGAGGGGAGAGGCCTTCGAGGAGACGGTAGATCTGAAGGTTGGGGGGAGAGTAGTCTGGCGAGCCTCAAGGCGGGAGGCAAGGTCCAGGAGACGGCTGGTGTAGTCAACGGCGCCAGCACTGTGTTCGATCGTGATGCTGAAGTATTCCTTGAAGAGCGGTCCGACAGCATCGAAGTCGGTGCGTTCGAACATTGCCTCAAGCTCGAGCCAGATCTGGCGGGAGCCGATGCGACGTGCCTGGAAGTTGCGCATGAGCGCAGACGGGATGGCAAGGAGAAGGGCACCAGTAGCACAGCTGTCCGCCTCGAGCCAGGCGCGACGACGCTCAGCAAATCGCGCAGAGTCAGCGGCATAAGCGGCGGCGGTAGCGGCATGCTGGGTGCGGAGGGTTGCCGACCGCTCGTGTTCCTCCAACGCGATCAGGTAATCAGTATGGAGTACGAGGAACTCACGACGCTGAGTAAGGAAGAGCTGCTCAACTTCAGCGGTGGCAGCGCGAGTGCTGGTGCGAACGGGTACCATGGGGGGCGGAGGTTCCTCGCCGGGATGGGGAATGAGAGGGGGGGGATCGCCAGGGTGAGGCGGCGGGTCCCCAAGGTCACCCTCTGGGAGACCAAGCATGATGTCCAGGAGGCGGAACGGCAGGACATAAGCACTGCCGAGGACGCGGTGGAGGCTGCCGACGAAGGAATACCAGTTGGTTGCTGAGTTGTCGGCAGCGCGCACGAGATGATCGAGGGTCGAGACGTCGACGGGAGGGGGAAAGGATGCCATTGGTGACACGGAGTGGGAGGAAGGCGACGGCGGGTGGACCCGCGGTGGCCGGGAGGGAGCGGCGGCGGGTGGACCCGCGGCGGCTCAAAGGGGAGGAGAGGATGGGGATGGCTGTAGATACTGCTGCTGCTGCTGCTGCTGCTGCTGCTGCTGCTGCTGCTCCTTCTGCTGCTGTTGCTGTTGCTGCTGCGGACGCTGCTGCTGCTGCCACTGCTGCTGCTGCTCCTTCAGCTGCTGCTGCTGCTGCTGCTACTGCTGCTGGTGCTGCTGCTGCTGAGTCTGCTGCTCCTTCTGGTGCTGCTGCTGCTTCTGCTGCTGCTGCTATGGCTGCAGCAGTGGTAAGGCGGCGATGAGCAGGTGCAGGTGAGGAGGCAAAAGATGGGGAAAGATGGCAGTTAGCTGATGAAAATAGGACTTGGTAGAAATTTCAGTAGCACTTCGTGATCACATCCAGGAAAGTGTGCAAACAGTCCGAAATTTTACGACGTTGTAGCTGACACCAAGAGCGTTCTTTTGCAAGTCGAATCACTCAATTCTGTCAAGTATCGAGCGAGCTATGGCGTTTGGCGCATTGGGGGTTTTTGAAAATCCACCCAACAGAAAACTAGTTGAGAGGCGGCGGCTAGGAGTCTAGCAGCGGCGATGGAGGGGACGGCAATGAGGTGCACGTCGGAAGGGGACGGGGCGGAAGCGTGGGGAAGGATCGGGATTTCAAAGTTGGCGTGAGCCATTATTGCTCTATACCATGTTAGAAACAGAAAGGTTCAGTTTATTGATGAAGCAAAGGCATTACATAGGAAGAGAGAGATGAGGTAGGAAGGGAAGGTTGGAAGGGAACGGGGGGTTAGGACCAATCACAAGGGAGGGAGGATCCTTCCAAATGTGGTTGACCACCAGTTGGAGGTGGTCCAAGTGTGGTGTACCACCAGTGGTTTAGCCAACCCACTTGTGGTGCCCCCACAATTGTGGTCCTTGGGTTTGGGGCTCCAACCACAATTGGGTTGGATTGACACCCCAACACAGGTGTACACCCAACTAGGGATGTAACACAATATACACAACTAGCATAGCATGGTATATTCTAACAGTTTGCTTTTGCTTGCCTTTCCCTTGGCTGTTGCTTGCTTTCACTTGCCGTTCTCTTGGCTCTGGCTTGCTTTCGCTTGGCCTTCCTTGGCTGTTGCTTTCTTTCGCTTGCCTTTCCCTTGGCTGTTGCTTGCTTTTGCTTGCCTTTCGTTGGCTGTTGTTTGATTTCGCTTGCCTTTTCCTTGGCTGTTGCTTGCTTTTGCTTGCCTTTCCCTCGGCTGTTGCTTGCTTTCGCTTGCCTTTCCCTTGGCTGTCGCTTGCTTTCGCTTGCCTTTCCCTTGGCTCTTGCTGGCTTTCGCTTGCCCTTCCTTGGCTAATGCTTGTGTTCGCTTGCCTTTCCTTGGCTGTTGCTTGCTTTCGCTTGCCTTTCCCTTATCTGTTGCTTGCTTTCACTTGCCTTCCCTTGGCTGTTGCTTTCTTTCGCTTGCCTTTCCCTTGGCTGTTGCTTGCTTTCGCTTGCCTTTCCTTTGGCTGTTGCTTGCTTTTGCTTGCCTTTCCCTTGATTATTGCTTGCTTTCGCTTGCCCTTCCCTTGGCTAATGCTTGCGTTCGCTTGCCTTTCCCTTGGCTGTTGCTTGCTTTTGCTTGCCTTTCCCTTGGCTGTTGCGTTCTTTTGCTTGCCTTTCCCTTGGCTGTTGCTTGCTTTCGCTTGCCTTTCCCTTGGCTGTTGCTTGCTTTCGCGTGCCTTTCCTTTGGCGGTTGCTTGCTTTGGCTTGCCTTTCCCTTGGCCGTTGCTTGCTTTGCTTGCCCTTCCTCTTGGCTATTGCTTGCTTTCGCTTGCCTTTCCCTTGGCTGTTGCTTTCTTTCGCTTGCCTTTCTCTTGGCTGTTGTTTGCTTTTGCTTGCCTTTCCCTTGGCTGTTGTTTTCTTTCGCTTGCCTTCCTGGTTGTTGCTTGCTTTCGCTTGCCTTTCCCTTGGCTATTGCTTGCTTTTGCTTGCCTTTCCCTTGGCTGTTGCTTGCTTTCGCTTGCCTTTCCCTTATCTGTTGCTTGCTTTCATTTGCCTTCCCTTTGCTGTTGCTTTCTTTTGCTTGCCTTTCGCTTGGCTGTTGCTTGCTTTCGCTTGACTTTCTCTTGGCTGTTCTTGCTTTCGCTTGCCTTTCCCTCGGCTTGCTTGCTTTCGCTTGCCTTTCCCTTGGCTGTTGCTTGCTTTCACCTGCCTTTCCCTTGGCTGTTGCTTGCTTTCGCTTGCCTTTCCATGGCTGTTGCTTGCTTTCGCTTGCCTTTTCCTTGGCTGTTGCTTGCTTTCGCTTGCCTTTCCCTTGGCTGTTGCTTGCTTTCGCTTGCCTTTCCCTTGGCTATTGCTTGCTTTCGCTTGCCTTTCCCTGGCTGTTGTTTGCTTTTGCTTGCCTTTCCCTTGGCTGTCGCTAGCTTTCGCTTGCCTTTCCCTTGGCTGTTGCTGGCTTTCGCTTGCCCTTCTCTTGGCTAATGCAAGCGTTCGCTTGCCTTTCCCTTGGCTGTTGTTTGATTTCGCTTGCCTTTTCCTTGGCTCTTGCTTGCTTTCGCTTGCCTTTCCGTTGGCTGTTGCTTTCTTTCACTTGCCTTTTCCTTGGCTCTTGCTTGCTTTCGCTTGCCTTCCGTTGGCTGTTGCTTTCTTTCGCTTGCCTTTCCCTAGGCTGTTGCTTGCTTTCGCTTGCCTTTCCGTTGGCTGTTGTTTGATTTCGCTTGCCTTTCCTTGGCTGTTGCTTGCTTTTGCTTGCCTTTCCTTTGGCTGTTGCTTGCTTTCGCTTGCCTTTCCTTGGCTGTCGCTTGCTTTCGCTTGCCTTTCCCTTGGCTGTTGCTGGCTTTCGCTTGCCCCTTCGCTTGGCTTGCTTGCGTTTCGCTTGCCTGTCCCTTGGCTGTTGCTTGCTTTCACTTGCCTTCCCTTGGCTGTTGCTTTTTTTGCTTGCCTTTCCCTTGGCTGTTGCTTGCTTTCGCTTGCCTTTCCCTTGGCTGTTGTTTGCTTGTTTATTCCTTTTTTTTTTTTTTCTTGTTGGTTTTTTTTTTCTTTCTTGGCTGTTTTTTTTCGCTTTTTTTGTCTGTTGTTTGCTTGCTTTCGCTTGCCTTTCCTTGCTGTTGCTTGCTTTTCGCTTGCCTTTCCCTTGGCTGTTACTTGCTTTCGCTTGCCTTTCCTTTGGCTGTTGCTTGCTTTCGCTTGCCTTCCTTGGCTGTTGCTTGCTTTCACTTGCCTTTCCCTTGGCTGTTGCTTGCTTTCGCTTGCCTTTTCCCTTGGCTGTTGCTTGCTTTCGCTTGCCTTTCCCTTGGCTGTTGTTGCTTCGCTTGCCTTTCCCTTGGCTGTTGCTTCTTTCGCTTGCCTTTCCCTTGGCTGTTGCTTCCTTTCCGCTTGCCTTTCCCTTGGCTGTTGCTTGCTTTCGCTTGCCTTTCCCTTGGCTGTTGCTTGCTTTCGTTGCCTTTCCTTGGCTGTTGCTTGCTTTCTTCCGTTTCTTGGCTGTTGCTTGCTTTCGCTTGCCTTTCCCTTGGCTGTTGCTTGCTTTCGCTTGCCTTTCCCTTGGCTGTTGCTTGCTTTCGCTTGCCTTTCCCTTGGCTGTTGCTTGCTTTCGCTTGCCTTTCCCTTGGCTGTTGCTTGCTTTCGCTTGCCTTTCCCTTGGCTGTTGCTTTCTTTCGCTTGCCTTTCCCTTGGCTGTTGCTTGCTTTCGCTTGCCTTTCCCTTGGCTGTTGCTTGCTTTCGCTTGCCTTTCCCTTGGCTGTTGCTTGCTTTCGCTTGCCTTTCCCTTGGCTGTTGCTTGCTTTCGCTTGCCTTTCCTTGGCTGTTGCTTGCTTTTGCTTGCCTTTCCCTTGGCTTTGCTTGCTTTCGCTTGCCTTTCCCTTGGCTGTGCTTGCTTTTCGCTTGCCTTTCCCTTGCTGTTGCTTGCTTTCGCTTGCCTTTCCCTTGGCTGTTGCTTGCTTTCGCTTGCCTTTCCCTTGGCTGTTGCTTTCTTTCGCTTGCCTTTCCTTGGCTGTTGCTTGCTTTCGCTTGCCTTTCCTTGGCTGTTGCTTGCTTTCGCTTGCCTTTCCCTTGGCTGTTGCTTGCTTTCGCTTGCCTTTCCCTTGGCTATTGCTTGCTTTCGCTTGCCTTTCCCTTGGCTGTTGCTTGCTTTTGCTTGCCTTTCCCTGTTTGCTTGCTTTCGCTTGCCCTTCCTTGGCTGTGCTTGCTTTCGCTTGCCTTTCCCTTGGCTGTTGCTTGCTTCGCTTGCCTTTCCCTGGCTGTTGCTTCTTTCGCTTGCCTTTCCCTTGGCTGTTGCTTGCTTTCGCTTGCCTTTCCCTTGGCTTTTTGCTTTGCTTCGCTGCCTTTCCTTGGCTGTTTGCTTGCTTTCGCTTGCCTTTCCCTTGGCTGTTGCTTGCTTTTGCTTGCCTTTCCCTTGGCTGTTGCTTGCTTTCGCTTGCCTTTCCCTTGGCTGTTGCTTGCTTTCGCTTGCCTTTCTCTTGGCTGTTGTTTGCTTTTGCCTTGCCTTTCCCTTGGCTGTTGCTTGCTTTCGCTTGCCTTTCCCTTGGCTGTTTTGCTTGCTTTCGCTTGCCTTTCCCTTGGCTGTTGCTTGCTTTCGCTTGCCTTTCCCTTGGCTGTTGCTTGCTTTCGCTTGCCTTTCCTTCTGTTGCTTGCTTTCCTTTTTCCTTCCTTGGCTGTTGCTTGCTTTTGCTTGCCTTTCCCTTGGCTGTTGCTTGCTTTCGCTTGCCTTTCCCTTGGCTGTTGCTTGCTTTCGCTTGCCTTTCCCTTGGCTGTTGCTTGCTTTTGCTTGCCCTTTCCCTTGGCTGTGCTTGCTTTCGCTTGCCTTTCCCTTGGCTGTTGCTTGCTTTCGCTTGCCTTTCCTTGGCTGTTGCTTGCTTTCGCTTGCCTTTCCCTTGGCGTGCTTGCTTGCTTGCCTTTCCCTTGGCTTTGCTTGCCCTTCCTTGGCTTTGCTTGCTTTGCTTGCCTTTCCCTTGGCTGTTGCTTGCTTTCGCTTGCCCTTTCCCTTGGCTGTTGCTTGCTTTCGCTTGCCTTTCCCTTGGCGTTGCTTGCTTTCGCTTGCCTTTCCCTTGGCTGTTGCTTCTTTCGCTTGCCTTTCCCTTGGCTGTTGCTTGCTTTCGCTTGCCTTTCCCTTGGCTGTTGCTGCTTTCGCTTGCCTTCCCTTGGCTGTTGCTTGCTTTCGCTTGCCTTTCCCTTGGCTGTTGCTTGCTTTCGCTTGCCTTCCCTTGGCTGTTGCTTGCTTTCGCTTGCCTTTCCCTTGGCTGTTGCTTGCTTTTGCTTGCCTTCCCTTGGCTGTTGCTTGCTTTCGCTTGCCTTTCCCTTG